GGGGAGGGAGAGGGGAGGGAGAGGGGAGGGAGAGGGGAGGGAGATTGAAGTGGTAAGTTGGGTGTGGATGCAATCGTTCTTGTTTCGGGCATGTCAAACGAGGGAGCGAGTTCCTCTCCTCCCTCCTCCCTCCCCCTCGTTCCTCTCCGTATTGCCCTCCTGTTCACTGCGCAAAGCCCCAACTGCCCTTCAGCTCGCGCACCTCTTCCTCTTTCCACCACCACCCAAGTACTGACAGGTTCGCTTCCTCCGTCGTAGTCATCTAACGGTGGCTGGTGCTTTGTTTGTCGACATGCTTGCCTGCTCTCCCGGCCACACTCATGATTTCTCTCCTCACTCCGTTCCTCCCAACCCCTCTGCATCTTTATTGATGCGCAATACTGTAATAAAAGCCTCGAGGTAGCGTTCATGTCACATAAGTCTATCCTCTACCCGCTCACGGCCAGAAGAAAGACGACGGGCACGCGCGGGGCGTTACGACGGGGACTTAGTTTTTTTGGTAGTTTTTTCGGAAATGTGAGCTCTTCACGGGGAATGAGGCTCGGGGACTTAGTTTTTTTGGAAATGTGAGCTCTTTATGGGGGATGAGGCTCTCGGAGCGAGGACGACGCGTTGGGAGCTTGAGCGTTCTGTGACGTGTAAAGGTTTGATTTGATTAGTTGAGAGCTTGAGTTGTACAGCTTTCTCAAAACGAACTGCGTGCTTTGTTGTTCTGAATCTCATTTTCCCGCTATTGTTCATTTCTTACCTACCAATTTGGCTCTTTCCCCGCTCACTCTTCTTGTATGTGGTTCCCTGGGGGTCATCCTCTTTCTCCCTCATTCCTCCTCCGCGTTTCTCCGTCCCTCTTCATCCTCCCTCTTCTTGATTCCTCTTTCTTCCTCCTCCCTCACTTGTGCTCCTAATTCCTCCGTTTTCTTCCCATTCATCTTTCTTTCTTCCCCTCTTCTTCTCTTTCCTCCTTGTTCCCCTTGTACTTTCCCTCTCTTCTCCCACTCGTCGTTGTTTCTTCCTCTTCCTCCCTCTCTCTTTCTTCCCTTTCCTCCTTGTTTCCCTTCTACTTTCCCTCTCTTCTCCCACTCGTCGTTGTTTCTTCCCCTCTTCCTCCCCCTCCCTTCCTCTCTCTTTCTTCCCTTTCCTCCGTGTTCCCCTTCTACTTTCCCTCTCTTCTCCCACTCGTTGTTCTTTCTTCCCCTCTTCCTCCCCCCCCCTCCCTCTCCCTTTCTTCCCTTTCCTCCTCGTTCCCCTTCTACTTTCCCTCTCTTCTCCCACTCGTCGTTCTTTCTTCCCCTCTTCCTCCCCCTCCCTCCCTCTCTCTCTCCTCCGTTGTTTCCTCTTCTTCCCTCTTTCTCCCCCGTCTTCTCCCTCTCCCCCTTCCTCCCCTCCCCTCATTCCTTCTCTCTCTCTCTTTTATTCCTCCCGTCCGGCATCTCTCTATTGCTAATCGTGTCTCCGCCTTTGTACTCTCTCTTCATAACAGTGAAGCGAGGATCGGCGCGGGATCGAGTCGCCGATGGCTGCAGTATGGGCCAGCTGCTCTGCGGCGCGCTACCGTCTTCCCCCGAATAAAACGTACGGTCATTATAGCCGCATTTGCCTCAGCTTTCGGTCCAGACGCAGGGGAAATAACCGTACGTTCTATACGAGGGAGTGAAGGTAGCCGTCTCTATAATTATCCACAAAGACCAGCTCCTCTCATTTACAGTTATTACAACGTCCATCGCCATGCTATGGTGTACGTTGTCGGATTAATCTCTTTGTCCTCAACTCTTGCCCGCGCGTTCTTGACTTAGTTTTTTTTTAGTTTTTTCTCCCCCACATGTTTCATGTATCTCCTTGGAGGCTCTTCTGCCCGTTCAGCGCCGCCTCATTTACCGCGACGTCAAGGGCCTCGCCGCGCCAGCCACCAGATGTGAAAAAGACAAAATATGGCGGGTGTATCTGCCCATGGTCTAGCGGAAAATTCATTCTCATTTTGCACATTTGGTCAGTGGTGCAGCGAGGGCCTTGAGAGAGAGATCCGCGTCTCTTCGTCCGTTCACATTCTCCATCGTTCCCGTCTTTTTTTCATCCTCTCTGTCGCTGCCCCCCCCACCCCCCCTCTCCCCTCCTCGGCAGCTGCCAGCTGACGTTGGCCGTATACGCTCCCCGTCCCTCCTTTGTTGATTGTACTCGATTCAAACAGAACTCCGCATTTTTGATTAAGTGACTGACCTGGTTATTAAACTTCTCATGGGGTTACTACGACTGGTAGTATTACTTTTAAAAAAATGCGGAGATGGTTCTTATCGTTTCTTGCTGAATGCGCGCACACTGGTGGGATGTTTTCAGAAGGGGGAAGTATACAGGGGAGAACTATAATGGAAAGCGCGGGAGAGAGCCGAACCCCGCCCTTTTGTCTCTCCTTTTCCCGGCCTACACCTGTCCGTGCTCTCACCTGCTGACGCGTCGAGTCTTCCTCTGCGCCTTTGCCTACTCTCTTGCCATTCATGCGCGACAGCATCCAGCAAGGGAGGAAGGAGAGAGAGAGAGAGAGAGAGAGAGAGAGAGAGAGAGAGAGAGAGAGAGAGAGAGAGAGAGAGAGAGAGAGAGAGAGAGAGAGAGATTGGGGAAGGGAG